TATATTATACGAGCATCAGGCTCGCCGAACCTGGGGATGTCTACTTGTGACTGCATGCAGTCGTATCCACCGCCCCAAGATCGGAGAGTCCCACCTTTCAGCCAACGCTCCGAGAATGGTGTTGGGGCTGTCGCGAACCTGGCGAAGCATAGATGCGCATCTCTTACGCATGATGGTAGCGAAACTATCAACATCGGCGTCGGCAAACATGCCGGACGCGCTACAAAATCGCGGCAGCCCCATCAACACCCGGAACGTGTTGTTATATTGAGTGCGCAAGCCATCATATGCCCTCCGCGTAAAGTCCACCCACAGGCTGCATGTGTAAAAGGATTGGCAGTGGGCTTTGAAAAGCGTCACCTTTACCTGAGCCGTATTATGTTATGTTATGTTATATTATGTTATGGGTACTGAATGAAGTTATGAAAAACCAGCTTCGGACCTATATTTGCGTTTGTTCTTACACTATTGCTATTATGAATATTTTAATTTTGCAAAAGTGATAACCATTGTTTTTTATTTATTAATATTTAACTGAATTATTCAGATATTAGATTGGGTACTCAATATTTTTTTTATATTTTTCACGACAAAAGTCACTTACAATTCACTAATTCATTTCAAGGGATTTAAACGAAAAATTAACTATTAGCAATTATACTGTCCGCAAAACTATTTTACTTAAAGCTTTACAAAATGCATTCAATTCTAGAACATGGAATAAGTAACGACTAAAAAAACTGAGCCTTTTTAGCATTCTTGTCAATAAAAGAGATAGATAGTAAATATCACAGTTCTTTGCTTTACCCGTATTTTTTTCTGACTTTAACATAACTAGCAGAAAATAAAGCCTACTTTCGGGAATTAAAAGACGTGATTTTAAAAATACATGAAGCTATTAGAATTATTAGAACCACACGTCTTATATTTTTATGAATTATTCTAATATTAATTATGCATTAAAATAATAACCAGTATGTATAAATTAAAATCTTTCTATAGTTCTTATTTTATTTTGAGTTATAGTTAAATACTTTAGTAATAATTTATTTTTGTCCTAGTTATATATTATTTAATTTATATCTATATATAGTTTAGTTTAGTTTTAGTCCTTACAAGTAAGTAATAAAATCTAAATCTAAAATATATTTTCAAGAACTTTCATATTTACGATTCTCATGTAAGTAACGAAAAATTGTGAAATCCTGAGTAGAATTGAACGCCGCAAAGAAGGGACACATTGGGAACATAGTTCGTGATTGTGAGGGGAACAATTAAAATATTTGATGACAAGTTAAAAAAAAAATACTACTTACCGACGATCGCCGTCAACACTAGAAGTTTCATAGTCCGGGAGTTCCTGTGGTCGTGTTCAGTGTAGCACAGTCGAGCACACTTCTGATACACGGGACCTGTGGGCCAGGTTTTATACCGGTTATCATTCTCTGCTAGGTAAGTTAGAAGACCCCTAACCTCGCCAAAATTGTGATAACGTGCGATCCAAAATTATTCCATGCGGTCCCTATTTTACATATAACATAACAACAAGCCTTTTATCCTAGGGGTAGGGGCGTAGGGGTAAGCAGATGTGCACAAACGGCATTTATGTACAATGTAACATCCACTTTTCATTATTTATGTTATGAGTCCCATGTAATAGGGGGAGCCTATTCCTATATACCGAGCACAATTCCAAACTCCGGGCTACTACTGAGATTTTTTTCAAAAACCCATTAGTATACCGGGAATACTGGGGAACTACTGAGTTTTTTTTCAAAAACCCAGTAGTATCCCGGGAATCGAACCCGTGACCCCTTGCCCGACAGTCGCACTTGCGACCACTCGACCAACGAGGCAGTCGATTCTGTATTTTAACTAACCAGTAATAAATGGATCCTTATCCATCCTGGATGTGATGGCTTTTTTTAAGCGGTCTGTCCGTCATTCTGTAAATACTTTGAACTTAGTCCCTCGAACACGTAGAAATGTCAAGTTGAAAAAAATGTAACAAATCTATTATAAAGCAAACTTGTAAAATTGAAATACCGAAAAGTCATGTTCAGGACTCAGCAGTCATGTTTGCAATTATTTGACTAAACAAGGAAACATTCATTTTTATATCGGTGTTTTTTTATGGAGTAGGAGGGAAACGAGCAGTCGGGTCACCTGACGGTTAGCGATCAGCGCCGCCCATGGAATTTACAGGTGCGTTACCGGACTTTTTTAAAAAAAAAATACGCTCTTTTCTTGAATGTTTGAATGTCGTATCAATTCCGAAATACCGCCGACGACAGATCATTTCAGAGTTTTGCTGTGTGAGGTAGAAAGCTACGAGAGAAGCGCACAGTTTATATAGAATAGGACGGAATCCACAGGCTATTCTTTTTATGGAATCGGAGGCAAACGACAGATGATCTAAAGGTTTAGTAGGGAGTTTGTAATGCTTAACAAACTCTACTAAGCTCTCATACTAATGATAAGTGATTAACGCTAGAGGAGAGAGGCATCAGATATGCGTCGCCAGCCTTTCAAAAAGAAACCACTCTCTTTCCTAGATTTGAAGGTCAAAACGATTGTCAAAATGTCCACCTAATTAGTAAAAGAATGATCTCGAAAAGTAGGCATAATCAAACTAGAAGCAAATGTTTTTGTTGTTACTGAATACTGATAAACATAAGTAAGCATTCTCTTATCAAAAGTTTGTTTTAAAAAGTCGGAACTCTTTTGTAAACCTACCTATTTTTTGTTTAAATTTTGATTAAATTTTGACTGTTATATAACTACTAGTTGGTATTTTTTTAAGGGGGGATAATCATCGAATGACTGCTCCCGCCTGGGTGACACGAGAGGGAGTGTCAGACTCTTACTGACCAAAAACCACCCCGTTCCTTCTCCTGCATGTCGAGCCGGAGCCCCGGTTACCCGTTAGGTTCTCCGCGACTACTAGTTGGTATGATCAGATAATCAGATAATCATCATAATAGAAAGAAAGACAAAACTTTATTTCACATGCTAAAAAAGAAAGGAAGAAATTCCAATAGGAATAGGTGGTACCTTTGTACTTTAATTTTATATAAGTGTTGTCGTTTATGTTGTATGTGAGTACATAAATAAATAATAAACAATTGAAATGTACAGATGCGTTATTCTATTAGTAGATACTGATGGATATATATTCACGTCCCAAGTCTCCCGTAAAATGGGACCAGTTCAGATTGTGCAAGACAGGGCCTTGCGGTGGTCTTCTATCATCATCATCAACAGCCAAGACGGAAGACGTCCACTGCTAGACAAGGGCCTCCCACTTAGTCCTGCGCGTCGAACGACAACTCGCCACCTGCATCCACTGGCTCCCCGCGACTCTGGCGATGTTGTCACAGATCTGTGTAATTCGATATATTTTGTTCGACCCAGGAATCAAAATCAATATCTGCTCGATAGTTACTATCAATCGACCAGGGTTTGTCTGTTGGTAATGTTTTGTAATGTATGTTTTTAGAGTAAAGTTTTACCTTTGAAAATAAAAACATGTGGTGTATATACCGCAGCGAGTAAATGGTACACTTTATTACGTCACGCCTTTTAAGCATCGAAGGGAGACGCGTAGGTATAGGGCGGTCTCCCTCGTCTCACCCGGGCGGGAGAAATCAATGGATGATTTTCCCCTTCAAAAAAATTAGGTACACATTTTAATGTAGGTACCCACTTTTCATAAGTTGTTTTGTTATAAGAGATGACCCTATTACCATGTAACGGACATCAGAGATTTTACAGAGACATTATCGTGTAACAGACATGAGAACTTTGACTGCACGGTTGGCGCGGTGGCTGGGCAACTGGCTGCCGCGCAACGTGTCGCGGGTTCGATTCCCGCACGGAACAACTCTTTGTGTGATCCACAGATTGTTGTTCCGGGTCTGGGTGTCATGTGTATGTGATATTGTATGTTTGTAAACGCACCCACGACACAGGAGAAAATCCTAGTGTGGGGCAACGTTTCAAAAAAAAAAAAAACATTTCCGAAAATCTAAATACCGAAAACGTTTTGTTCGGTAGTCATACTTATGGCCACTCAACCAGCGAGGGCTATTATCTCTATACTTAAATGTCTGATTAATAAACAATAATTGACTTGTTGTTTTACTATTTGCTAATTTGTAAAAAACTATGTTATCTTTTATAAACATTATCAAGTGCCTACGTATTCGTGATTAATCATAAAATAGATACAACATCCAGGGCCGTATTTGACATACAAACATAATTTTGTTAAAGTCAGTCAAGTCCGTTTATAATAAGTCAGTTGTGTTATAAGTCGTTGTTCTACGTAGGTCTGTATCAGTAAAACTCAGTCGATATTTCAAGAGAAAATTACAGTCCATTGCTCAAGCCAAGTTGTTAAATAAAATCATAAAAGTAAAAAAATGCAAACGAATTCACTACGCAAACGCAGATCGAGCACAGAATGCGCGCGCCAAGTGACATTACTACCAAATGTCATCTGTCAATTCGTTAACTGTCAGTGTCGATATTATTGCTCGTAGCAAATAGGTAGCGCTTTCAATCGAGTCTTTTGATAAGCCGTGTTACGGTTCTACGCCATAATAGCGGACTGTTTGTACTGTTTGAGAATACCGATCCTGGTCTGTGTACCACTAGAGTGCTGTTACAAAGACTTAGCTGTATGACCTCTAATAAATACCTTTGCCTGTTTGTGTGTAGTAAAGACAGGTATTAAATTAAGCTAGATCAGCAAGGTACTGATTTGTGTCGCAAGTGCTTTTGCCTAGTAAGTAATGGATTTTATTAACTTTTACACTACGTTACCTATTTTCATACTTCTGTTAGTAATCTACTGCAAATGTTCCTTAAAATTGATTATGGACTCGATTAAATAAAATAAACCACCTTCCTAATTAAGTCTTTATTGAGTAATATTACATATTTGAAATTAACCATAGGTAGGTACACCTATGCAGATAAATAAAATTGAAGTGTCTGTTTATAATATTAAAATAACCGCTTTTTACGACATGCATATGAATATACATACGATACACATATCAAAATATATTTTTTAATCATAAATGGTTACAAAGGCACTACATTGTATCAATCAGATTTCAAGTAAGAAAATACCATTAATGTATTACAGATATATTTCTGTGAACACGACGTTAATTCTTTTTATAATATCGCAATTAAATTAATCTATGTAGTCAGTTCATTAATGGAGCATGGCCTTGGTCCACTCATCATCAGAGCGGAGAATGTTGGTGTACTGGGTGACAGGCTTGTATGCCTTCAGTTTGGATTCCTTCTTCAGCTCTTCGGTCTTAAGATCACTGTCTGCACCTTCCAAAGAGAAGGAGGCTCCATAATGTTCAGGGAGATCCACCAGACCGTAAGAAGTCATGTAGTCGTCGCTGGGTTGGGAAGTGCTCTGTCCACAAAGACCTCTGGTGGTGCTGCGGTAGAATCCAGAGAAGATAACAAGTCGGTGGCCGTCGTAAATAAGCCGAATACGCCCATTGTGCATGCTGTACACTTGATAGTTCTCTGCGTCAACATGATAGTATTCCAATAGAGGTATCCTGTAGATATCATCATAGTAGGTAATGACGCCATCGTCGGAGATTTTTCTTCCGTTACTCTTGACATTGACTGACTTCGACGTGATTTCAATCTCCAAAAATATACCCTTGTTATTTCTGAAACATAATCGGTACAGATAAATGTTTTTTTCTTTTATGGGATAAGCCGGTAAACGAGCAGACGGATCACCTGATGGTAAGCAATCGTCGTCGCCCATGGACACCTGGAACACCAGAAGCGTTACAAGTGCGTTACCGGCCTTTTGGAGATTAAGAGTTTGAGAATTGTTGGGGATTAGGGAAGGGAGGATTTGTACCTCCGGTAACCTCACTCACACGACGAAACACAACGCAAGCGTCAGTTTTCTGTGAGACCGTGGTATCACTCCCGTCGAGCCGGCCCATTCGTGTTGAAGCATGGCTCTCCCTAACTTAAGTGGTTTTGCTACCCTTTTAATGCATCAATATTATGCAAACACAACTTTATACTCGTCATCATATACGCCATATGTTAAATTGACTATTATTAAATCAGGTGGTTAATATATTATGATGCTAGTTATATTATAATGTTAGAAAAAAAGATAATTAATAAATACTGACTGGTAAGAAACGTAGACCTCTGTGTTATTTTCAATGGACCTCTTAACTAGAATAGCAAGGTCGTTGCTACTATCTCCAGTTTCGTCTACCATAACCACATGCCAGGATCCGGTCAGACTGTAGTCATAGCTACGGCCGCTGAATGTCGAGATCTTGTTGTCGTCCACAGTACAGAAAGCTGTTAGAAAAATAACATTTTAATGCCGACATTTTCTATGGAAATAAATGATTGATTGATTGATTGATACTCACGCAAGTATTGGTAGCCAGTGAACCAGTTGTAGGAACGCTCCCAGTTGGTAATGGGTGTGTAGATAGCCATAGCGTAGGGGTAGTAGGAACGTCCCTCGACATTGTTCATGCGGAACTCCCCATACTTGGTGTTGAATTTGTAGTTGATGTAGTTATCGTAGTAGAACGCCTGCGCTTCAATTTCTACTTTACCATCTTCGGTAGCTTTCAGCAGGTCCTCGTCCTCTTCCCAAGTCGTAAAGTGTTTGAAAATATTGTATATTCTGTAGGTGGCATTCAACAGCACAGGGTTAACATCTTTGTATGTCACAGTACCCTTGAAGTAGTCAGGTGCGTGTGCCTTGATGATCATTTTGTGACAATCCTTCTGGTAGAAGTTCTTGTTGCTGGTCTCTTGCAGGCATTTCTTAGCTAAAGGATCATTGGATAATCTTTCAGTGTATTCCTTGCTACGTTCACCAATACCTTTGAAAATTATGTTTTCAGAGTTTCCGTACTTGAAGTCGGCTTCATATTGAACTTTAATATCGTTTTCCAGAGCCCTTTCAAAGTTTATTGGAATAACCTTAGGCTTGACTATTTTGAAAACGGCATTAATTTGTTCAGTACCTTTGGCATACACAATGAATTGGGATTTCTTATCAACTGGGCTACTAGCTAAAGCTGCGGTAAAAAGAAACTCTTTTTTGTCGTGCCCGTCAAACACAGCACTAAAGTCAATAATTTGAACTTTAGCAGATTTTATTTTTGACGCCACCTGATCAGCCAGCTTTTTACGTCGATTTGGACTATCGCCTGCAAGACTAGTGAAATGGCCAGCGGGCTTTAATTCATCATCTCCTTCGTGACCAAATAAAGTCTCTGTAATGAAAGTAACTTTAATAAACATGTATTTTGTAATAAGTACCTATTTATTTATAAGGATCAAAATTTACATTTGTTTTTAGGCATGAAGAAAATAACTATAAAATACTTACCAAACAATACAGTAGAAGTAAGTTTTTTGTTCTTAGTGTCTTTAGCTACGTATTTCAAATCAAAATGTGTACAAGCAATGTCATTCTGGTACAACAAGTTGCGAACGTTTGTCAAAATGTCAGAAGCGAAAATATTTTTCTTAAAATCATTGGAATATGAGTGTCCTTTCAGGTTAAGGCTGACACCAGCCGACTCGCCAACATTTATGTCAGTATCCAGAACTGTAGTAGAGCGTTTAATGACTTTCGTGGATGGGTCTTCAGATACTGCCAATGCAGAATGCAGTTTTTGCAGAGATGTGTAGGGAAATACACTCATGTGAATAAGGTTAATATCTTTTTCCGGAAGATAAAATTCGAATGTAATTTCAGTCGATTTTGGTTTGATTGTAACATTGACAGGGATAAAGTATTGTAACTTATTGATAACACCACTGCCAGCGTACACTCCAGAGAGAGTGTCTAAGAAACCGACTTTGCCGTCCAAATTTCTTAGATAAGTGAAATTAATATTCTGGTTTAAAGAGAGAGCCAATATATACGTGAAATCAGAAGTTGCCTGGAATTTAATGTTGAAGAAAATTGGTTCACTGTATTTGTAAACAAATGGCATTCCAGAAGCGAGAGGAAAGGTCACTACAACTTGTTTGGCATTTATAAACTTAGTATATTCATACTTGTCACCATTTATCAGTCGTTGAACTTTTTCTTGAACATCTGAGAAGAGGAAATTGAGGTCTTTTTGACCGAAAGTGAATAGTCTTTGCTGGTTCAAATTGTCAATGAAGAATGCACCTTCAATAGGGTCGTGTTCACGAGTGATGTTAAGTTTTGTGGCTACTTTCTTGGCAGGGAATTTTACGAAAGAATCTGTAGGAAAATTGTTCGTCCTTAGAGGAATCTGTAGGTAATTGGATAGGTCTTGTACGTCAGAAGTAGACATTGTGATCTGAAAATATAACGTGTCGTGAATAGTGGGATCTGATATTGGTCCTTTCTAATATATTTAAGAATAGTGAGAACATCATTCATCATCATTGTTTGGCTAGAACAGAATGCCCATAGTGTGGAGCCCAAATAAGGATAGATTTTTCAATCATCAGTTAAATATGAACTGTAGAATAAAATTGTTGTTTGACATTAACACATTACATCAACAGCCTATGAGTGGCCACTGCTGAAAACAGGCCTCTTCTCACACGGAGTAGGTTTAAACATCAATCACCACACTTACTCAATGCGGGTTGGCGATTTCAAACTTATAATAAGAAATTATAAGCCCAAATTTCCTCACGATGTTTTCTCTCACCGTTTGTCACTGGTGTCTAAATAACCTTAAAAAGTGCATATAAATCGGAAAAAGTCACATTGGTATTTGTTATTGGTAGGTTTCGAACCCACGGCCTCATGCAAGAGAAGCGAGCGTCTTGACCACCACGACCACACGAGGGACCACTACTTGGTATGACAAAAATAAAATTTATTTATATAACAACAAATAATATTACCCAGTCTTCTTCGGTTAACCCAGTGCCTCTTAATCTAAGAGCAGTCCTGTGGTACTTAGGGAAGAAATCATTTGCACTACCAATAAAGGACAATTCCCTGAAGTGGGCCAGGTCATCATTGGAAGTGTAGTCATCAATAATACTGTCGGCAGAGGCGCGGTACCCGAATTTTTCCTTAGATACGATACTCAAAACAGCTTGAGCGGTTTTGGCGCTGAAATAAATAAAATAAATTAAGTCACGGCAACATTATCGAAATAGCTTCGGAAAAAAATGTTTCATTTGAAATAACGTAATGTTACATAACATATTATACATATTTATTTTATGTTTTAAGGATTACTTACAGCTGTGCAAAACGTGGGTCCTTCAAATTAGCTGCAAAAGAAATACTGGTTGCTATTACACCACGAACTTGGACGCTTGGGTCATCATTAGTCATATGTGCCATAATTTGCATCATCTCTGAAGTGGGGATAGCTAAGAAGATGTTCAGAGCCGCTGCGACCCTGACTTCGTATGGTTCCGCAGTGTTTCTCAGGATGCTGAAGAGTACGGCGCGAACATATTCGTCCTTCTTGTTAGCCAAAGTTTTCAGGCTAATTACCATTTGTGTACGAAGATACTTGGTAACAGTGACTTGGCCTTCAAAGTAGGGAGCAAAAACCTTTAAGATATCAGGGTGAGCTAAGTTGCCAAGAGTTCTAATGTAAACCTGAGCCCTGCTGCTATCATCGACTTCGATGGCTTTTTTTAGTTCTGCGGAAAGCCGTGGGATAACTTTTTCAACTACGAACTGGTTCTCGTTTCCAGAGCGAATGAATTTAGTAGCGGCCAGTAAAGCAGAACTGTTAAGGTACCTTTGTTCCACAACTTCAGGGCTTAGAGCAAGTTCCAAAAACTCATTCATTATTTCCTTGTTCGAAAAACTTAGACTGCCAGGTACAGATGCTATAACTTCAGCAGCTTCTTCGCCTTGAATTTTTTTAGTAACGATCCACGATTTAATTTTCTTAAATGCAGCTATAGTACCTGCCTGTGCAACTGCGTCACGATAGATAATCCACATTTTGTTCTTTTCTGCATTATTCGAAGTTTTAGAATCCTCAATGCTGTCAGTCATTTGAGTTAATTGTTCAGAGTTCATTAACATTATGAAACGAACTAGGACATTAAACTTTGACAGCAAATTGTCTTTGGACAAATTTGGAGGATCCTGCACTAGAAGAGTAATTTCTTGGAGAACTTTATGGGCATTATCAATGATTTCCGGGGTAACTTTGAAGAATATCTCAGAGTCATCGGATGACAAAAGTGAGTTTACTACACGGACCTTTCCGGGTTTTGGCCATTCAGTATTCCCTACCGCCTCGATAGAAGCCAAAACAAGTCCAACGTAACTGTAGACTTCAGCCTTTTGTTTTCCAAACAAGAGAGGATTCACGAATACAGTGTCTAACGTTTCCGATTTGTAGATCGTTCCCTGTTTACCAGCATGAATGCGTGACTCAGAAGTGTGCTTGATGAACGGTCTTTCATCGTTTTCATAAGCGAGTCCATTCCAGATAGCTCCCTCTGGGACACCAATAGCAAAACCAACCCGTTTTTTGCAAGACTTGTAGTTCTTGCTTTTAGTGATCTCGATGGGGTCTTCAGCAAACGATTGCAAGTTACGGCGTACTTCCACAGAAATTGGAGAAATGGAATATAAAGTTTCACAGTCGCCTGTGACATCAGCTTCCGATTTCTTGAATAGGCCCTGGAATGTATTTTTGTCGAAGCTGTTGGGGAAATTGTTCACATGTCCAAATGTAGATAGATCGACTTGGAGGGCACTGATTAAACCTTTGAGTATGTTCTCATTGGCCGATGATAGGCTAGAAGGTACTTTCAGAGAAAGCACTCGACCTCCATCAACGAGAATTTCGAAAACCTCGTCGATTTTCGAAATGGGTTCGTATTTCAAGTCAGAGGGAACCTCGTTGATATCAAGCACTCCTTGAATCTGGGCGTGTAAGGGGTTATGTAATTTAGCCAGAAGATGTCCAGGAGCCTGGACGCGGATCACGAACTGAGACTTGAAAGCGTTGCCATTGCTGTGGCTATTCTCGAACTTGGTCCAGGTGTAAGTATTAACATCATAGACGTATTCTTTTCCTACTTGCCAAGGCCACTTAGCATTTCCAGTTAGTGGATTCGAAGCGACGACGGCTGAAATAAAAGTGTATAAATGAAGTAAGAACAATTTTTACTGCTAAATATTTTTAAGAAAATATTTTACATAATAAGTCATGTTTAGTGTAGGAGGTCTCAATCCCCACTATCTCTTATAAAAGCAAGCGGTCAGTCAGTACCATTCGGTCTTTTTAAAGGTGGTTGGCATCGATATTGTAAGATGATTCTAAGATTTAGGCTGATGCCGATACGGATTCGTGGAGTACTTAACGGGCTTTTTTTTTAAGGGGGGAAAATCATCGAATGACTGCTCCCGCCTGGGTGAGGCGGGAGGGAGTGTCAGACTCTTACTGACTAAAAACCACCCCGTTCCTTCTCCTGCACGTCGAGCCGGAGCCCCGGTTACCCGTTAGGTTCTCCGTGACTACTTAACGGGCTACCGAGGTTCCGTCTCAAAGTGCAGGAAGAAGATCGTAGTGGTTTTTAGTCAGTAAAAGTCTGACACTCCTTCACGCCACACCCGGGCGGGAGAAATCATTTCAAAAAAAAATATTGAACTTTTTTATTTAACTACCTTCATTTTTCTTTATTAGGTATTTGTGCTAGTTTTTATGCTTGAGAATGACGGTCGTTTTAAATTGATGATTGTTATTAATGGTTCCTTTTTTTAAATTATATGTAAGTATTAGTTTACTGTAGACTTATTTTTTTTTATTTGGAATAAAGACTGTAAATGTGTTGTGATTGTGTCTTTTTTTTCCTAATATGAAACGCTTCTGAAACCTAAAAATATTATTAAAATGCGAGTTATATGGTGTTTTACGTGGGATCATATTTCTGATTATCCCTTAGATGAACGCAAATTTGTGGTGTCGAGTATAAAGGTCGATAACCGATAATAATATAATAATAAAATATAACATAATTTACATACAAATTTTTATAAGTATGTACGAAGACATAATACTTAAAATAATTTAGTAAATAGTGTGAACTTCAAAATGAATATAAGTTAGAAGGAATAAGTTTAATTTGTTTCATAATATTATATAAAAAAGCAGCTCATTTGGTTAATTGACCGAATATGCCACATTCTATAGATCTGAAACTTATGCTCACTCAAAGGTCTCATTGGCGGTGGCGCGTGCAGTGGATCGCTCGATTCCGTACAAACAATATGGTTGAGTTGGGCGGTGCTGGTGTACGTGTCATGTTCGTGAACGGACGCCGTCAACTGGGGCTGGTCAGCTCCAGACTATTATTTAATTTTATTGTCTTTAGGTTATTTTCTTTTTCGATCACTTTGACTAGATTTTAGTGTTACATTGTTCTCGCCCAATCCAAACAGCAAACTATGTAACTAGAGAATTGTATTGTGAACCTGATTGAAAAAGAGTAACCTATGGAGTTTCTTGCTCGTTCTTCTCCATAGGAATCTACACATTGGAATGAGCAAATGGTTTCACTTTTAATTTTATTGTTGACGATCAAAAGTGCCTTTCTGGTCTAATTGAAATAAATGATTTTGACTTTGACTTTGACTTTATTCAAAACAATAGTATTACGACATTCTATTACCTTATAAAGCGGCATTTAAAATTTTTTTATTACAAAATCTAATATTCTAACTTCAATCTATTTTATCGTCATCAGCGTGCTTCGTCGCGATAAATGTACAGTGTGTAGTGATACAGAATGTCTGGCGCATGGACCGACACAGTTGTATACTTGCCAACTAGTAAAATTCAATACTTTTTTCGAACTGTCATCATAAACGACAGTTTCCTATGAAGTTTGTACGAGATTGTGGATTGTGACGTCGTTTTTTTAGCGTCAACAACGTCCCCAAACGGCTCAAAACAATAGTTTTGTAAACAGTCAAATGCCCTTTAGTTTCTCCACTACTACTACACTATTTTATTATTTTAACATTTGTTTTTGGTAATGCTTGTTGATTTAACATTTATGATAACACGATACGATATTAAGATCATCTATTCTTCTATGGTTATCATTTTTTTTATACATTAAGTAATTATAAATAAATACTAGATACTTACCGAAGATCGCCGTCAACACTAGAAGTTTCATAGTCCGAGAGTTCCTGTGGTCGTGTTCAGTGTAGCACAGTCGAGCACACTTCTGATACACGGGAACTATATACCAGATTTTATACTGACCTTGGTTTCTCTAAACTCAGTCAACTTGACACCTTTAACCTCTATAAAATTCTGATAAATACGAGTAAAACAAAATAAAAGGGACTCTAACTAGTTACAGGGCTGTATTCAAGTTAATAATATTTTTTCTTTGATCTCTTTTGTTCGTTTGAAGGTTAACTACAGATGAACGCGAGGCACCGCGTGGAGAGACTCAGCGCGCGGTACAAGATCAATAAGTACCTAAACAAATAGTTTTGTTTACATCACCGCGCAATGCTCCGCGCCGAACTCGGAACCGCTAGTTCTTGAATCGCGACGGTCAAGTTCTTTAAATCTATTCAGTTGACCCGCGTGAGATGAGATAGATAGACGCATAGATTCAGGAAAAAATACCACTGGAGACAACATACGTATATTACGTTCCTATGCCATGCCATCATTTGAATGCTGCTACGCGGGTCCGTGCGTTCATCTGAACTTAGCTTAACAGCGTGGCGAAAAATATGCAAATTGTCATCGTTACTCTAAAATCCTTATTAGTACCTATTCATCAACAACAGGCCGTAAAAGTAGTTCATGGACTTCCTATTTAAACTGTCAAACACCAAGCGGTTACCGGTGACCGCAACCTATTGTTCTATAATTGTGTCTATATACAATTATACAATTATAGACTATACACAATTATAGAACAATAGCTTGCGGTCACCGGTCACCGCTTGGTGTTTGACAGTTTAAGTGTAGGAGAGCCATGCTTCGGCACAAATGGGCCGGCTCGACCGGAGTGATACCACGGCCTTACTGAAAATCGAAGTAAAGCAACGATTGCGTTGTGTTTCGTCGTGTCAGTAAGGTTACCGGAGGCCCAATTATTCGGGTCTGGGTGTCATGTGTGTGAAATTGAATGTTAGTAAACATACCCACTATACAGGAAAAACATCCAAGTGTGAACAACGGTTTTATAAAAAGAAAAAAAAAATATAAATATAAAAAAATACAAAACAGATTAGCTCTGAATAATGTCTAATTGTTGCATTTGTGTGCCTAAATGAAATAAAATTAACTAATTTCAATGTAGTAGGTACAAAGAATAATGTCCCAATTCATTGAAGAAGGCTTATCCGAGAAAATAGTTAGGTCTAAGGAATTTAGTCCAAATACATTCTAAACTGCCTCGATGGCAGAGTGGTCGCAAGTGCGACTGCCGGGCAAAGGGTCTCGGGTTCGATTCCAGGGTCGGGCAAAGTATTACTGAGTTTTGTCTTAATCTCAGTAGTAGCACGGAGTTTGAAAATGTGCCCGGTATATGGCAATAGGCTCATCCCCTATTACATGGGACTCATAACATTAGTATATCCCCAACGATCCTCAAACTCTTACCGCTTAACCAGTTACGCACTTGTAACGCCTCTGATGTTCAAGGTGTTCATGGGCGACGCCGATTGCTTACCATCAAGTGATCCGTCTGCTCGTTTACCGGCTTATACTATAATTAAAAAATAAAAAGTGAAAAGTGGGTGCTACCTCTGTGTGCACCTCTGCCTACCCATTCGGGGATAAAAGGCGTGATGTTATGTTATGTTAAATTCTAAACAAGCAGTCCCGTATTTGTAGGTAGTATTTGTAAGTAGGGGTTACATCTTCTATCTCTACAGGTAAATAGAATTGAAGTACTGTTTGTAATATTAACTTATCTACGTTTTACTACATGTATATGAACATACAAACGATACACATTGGCCACTTGCATCTGACGAGAAGGAATTAAAAATTACACGTATTCTTTGAAAATATATCATGCCTGGCATACAATTTGATTGGTATATTTAAAAAAAAACTACACATATTGAAATTCAGTCGTATATCGTCATTCAGTTATATTACAATGTTTAGTCAACATTACAATAATTACATCTCATTGACTAATTAGCCCTAGATTTTGCTCCACTCATCATCAGAGCGGAGAATGTTGGTGTACTGGGTGATAGGCTGGTACGCCTTCAGTTTGGCTTCCTTCTTCAGTTGCACGGTCTTAGGATCGCTGTCTTCACCTTCCAAAGAGAAGGAAGCTCCATAGTGCTCAGGGAGGTCCACCAGCCCGTAAGGAGTCATGTAGTCGTCGCTGGGTTGGGAAGTGCTCTGTCCACAGAGACCCCTGGTTGTGCTGCGGTGGTCATCAGAAAATATAACAAGGCGGCGGTGGTCGTCGTAAATGAAACGGATGGCTCCGTTGTTCAAGCTGTATACTTGGTAGTGGTCCTCGACTACATAATAGTATTCCACGACAGGAATCTTTAAGACATCATCATAATATGTGGTAACATAATTGTCGCTGATCTGCCTTGCGTTACTGGTGATTTCGTATTGTATGGTATTAATTTTGATCTCCACATTATATCCCGTTACAGTGCTGAAATACAAACACATGACAAAATGAGTTTATTTTACTTTGGAAACATATAATCTTACACTTTTTTAAAGCTGAGAATTTTGGTTGAACGCGCTATCTTCAGAACTAATGATACAAATTGTATAATTATTTTTGTGTTCGATAGTTTATTTATTTTGGTAGGCTATAGGCATATGCATGTATATTATAACTAGCTTCTTTCAATCGCATTTTAACCGTTCCCGTACCTAACGGGTTACCGGGACTCTGGCTCGAAGTGCAGGAGTAGGAACGGGGTGGTTTTTAGTCAGTAAGAGTCTGACACGCCCTCCCGCCTCACCCAGCTGGGAGCAGTAATTCTATGGTTTTCAATTTTCAATTTGATTTTCTCCTTAAGCAAAACCGTTTCCGCGGTAGTTTTGGGAAATCTTTGGATAAAAAGTATCCTATGTCTGTCTCCTAATTCTAAGCTACATCGTAAACCGATTTGGCTGTTCTTGAGTGATAAATAGTAGGTATAATTAACACGACTTTCTTTGTATATATAGATGTAGTCATGCTGTGATCAATAAGAGCCGAGCAGATCGTTTGAAACCGCTCTAAATCTAAATTAGCTATTTAATTGTTGAAACATACCGGAGGCCCAATAACTCTTTCCCAGTCTCCCTAATTCCCGAATACCTCATAATCCTCAAATTCCCCATTCCTAACAGGCCGGTAACGCACTTGTAACGGTATTTGAAATGTCCATGGGCGGCACCGATTGCTTACCATCAGGTGATCCGTCTGTCGGTTACCGGCTCATCCCATAAAAAAACCGTGCAATAGTTAAAATAACAAATTACTTTTGTTGCTCATTAACGTTTAAAAAGATATACTTTTACTGACTGGTAGGAAACGTAGACCTCTGCGTCATCATTATCACTGGGTTTTTTAACAAGGAAGACTAGTTTATTGCCGTTTTCTCCTGTCTCATCCACCATAGCAGCGTGCCAGGAAGTAGTCACATTGTAGTTGTAGCTTCTGCCGCTAAATGTCCAGATTTTGTTATCATCAATAGTACAAAAAGCTGCAAGAAAACATAAAAATTTATGTAATAAAACATTATCTACATGTTCCCTTTAAACCGAATAAATGATTGATACTCACGCAAATGTTGGTAGCCAGTGAACCAGTTGTATGAACGCTCCCAGTGGGTAATGGGTGTGTATATAGCCATAGCGTAGGGGTAGTAGGAACGTCCCTCGACATTGTTCATGCGGAACTCTCCATACTTGGTGTTGAATTTGTAGTTGATGTAGTTATCGTAGTAGAACGCTTTCGCTTCAATTTCCACTTTACCATCTTCGGTAGCCTTCAGCAGGTCCTCGTCCTCTTCCCAAGTCGTAAAGTGTTTGAAAATATTGTATATTCTGTAGGTGGCATTCAACAGCACAGGGTTAACATCTTTGTATGTCACAGTACCCTTGAAGTAGTGCGTGTGCCTTGATGATCATTTTGTAACAATTCCTCTGATAGAAGTTCTCTTGCAAGCATTGCTTTGCTAAAGGATCATTGGATAATCTTTCAGTGTATTCCTTGCTACGTTGACCATAACCTTTAAAAATAATATTTTCCGAGTCTCCATACTTGAAATCAGCTTCATATTCTACTTTAATTTCATTCTTCAAAGCCTTCTCAAAATTTAATGGGACAACCTTCGGCTTAACTATTTTGAAAACGGCATTAATTTGCACGTCACCACTAGCAAATACGATGGCTTGAACTTTATTGTCTGCTGCACTATTGGCTAAAGCTGCGGTCAATACAAACTCTTTTTTGTCTTGACCCTCAAATACAGCACTGATGTCAACAATTCGAACTTTAGCATATTCAATTTCCGATGCGACCCGATCAGCTAGTTGTTTACGACGATGCGCACTGTTAGGGGCGATATCAAGAAGTTGATCAGCTGGTCCAATTTCATCATCCCCTTTGTGATCGTATAGAGTATCTGAAATGAAGGATATGTACTTCAGTGAATATAGCTTCAGTACAAATATTCAATGTTTTATTCATGTGCCCAACCAGATTATTATTAACTTTTTATTTTATTAAATACGTATATTTATCGTCGTTAGTTGACGAAATAAAACGAACAACTTACCAAACAATAACGTGGAAGTGAAATGTTTGTTTTTAGTTTCCTTAGCTATGTATTTTAATTCAAATTGCGTATAAGCAATGTCATTCTGGTACAGCAAATTGCGAACGTTCGTCAAAATGTCAGAAGCGAAAATATTTTTCTTGAAATCGTTGGAATATGAGTGTCCTTTCAGGTTAAGGCTGACACCAGCAGACTCGCCAATATTTATGTCAGTAGCCAGAATTGGAGTAGAGCGTTTAATAACTTTTGTCGATGGATCTTCAGATACTGTCAATGTAGAATGCATTTTTTGCAAAGATGTGTAGGGAAAAACACTCATATGAATTAATTTGGCATCTTTTTCCGGAAAATCAATGTCAAACGTTATTTCATTAATCTTCGGTTTAACAGAAAACTTGGCAGGGATCAAGTATTCTAATTTGTTAATAACTCCACTGCTAGCGTAGACTCCATTAATAGTGTCTAAGAAACCAACACTACCGTCCAAATTTCGGGAATAGGTGAATCTAATATTATAGTGGAGTGAGGGAGTCCTTGCTACGGTAAATTTAGAAGAAGCTTCGCCTTCAATGTTGAACAAAATAGGCTCACTGTATGCGTAAACAAAAGGCATACCAGTGGCTAGAGGGAAGGTAACAATAACTTGTTTGCCGATTATAATCTTCGTATATTGTTTCTTATCTCTATTATATAGTCCTTGAACTAATTCAGAAAACAGATTAGGAAGTGCTTTTTTGTCGAAAGTAAACAATCTTTGTTGGTTTAAATTATCAATAAATAATGCGCCTTCAATTGGGTCACGGGGGTCCCTTTTAATGTTAAGTTCTTCGGCTACTTTCTTCGCAGAAAATTTTAGGTCAGGTTCTGATGTAAATCCTTCGACAAAGAAAAGGTTCTGAAGGTAGTTGAGTAAGTCTCGTACGTCAGAAACGGAAAAACTGATCTGAAAAAAAAAACGAATCGTAAACACATTTGTGTTTGTGACATTTAAAATGTAATGCAGTAGTGAAATTTATATATATCAGGCACCGTTAACAAAGCCTTATTAAAAAAAATTAGCGATCACTTCTATCTGTGATTATTATATTAAAGTAATAGAAGTTGATGCGATTTTATGCAATTATTGACTTAAATTGGAGAGTCATGTTTCGACACGAATGCCTCACAGAAAACCGACGTGAAACAACACTTGCGTTGTGTTTCGTCTTAGGAGTGAGGTTACCGAAGGCCTAATTACCCCAATCCTCAAATCCCAACAATTCTCAAATTCCTAATCCCGAATCGGTGCCACCTGTGAACACATTCCATGGGTGGCACTGATTTTTTTTTGTTTTTTTTTAAAAAACGTTGCCCCACACTAGGATTTTCTCCTGTGTCGTGGGTGCGTTTACAAACATACAAGTTCACATACACAATGACACCCAGACCCGGAACAACAATTTGTGGATCACACAAAGTGTTGTTCCGTGCGGGAATCGAACCCGCGACACGTTACACGGCAGCCGGTTGCCCAGCCACCGCACCAACCGTGCAGTCAAATGATTGCTTACCATCAGGTTCTCCGTCTGCTCGTTTAATGGCTTATTTCTTTAAAAATACTAAACAAAAAGAAAAAGAAATACCCAGTCTTCTTCGGTCAACCCACTGCTTCTTAATCTCAAAGCTGACCTATGATACTTGGGTAGGAAACTGTCACTGCTACCGATGAAAGATAATTCTCTGAAGTGGGCCATGTCATCATTGGAAGTGTAGTCATCAATAATACTGTCGGCAGAGGCGCGGTACCCGAATTTTTCTTTAGATACGATACTCGAAACAGCTTGCGCGGTCTTGGCACTGAAAGAATATCACATAATTAGTAGGCTGCTATAGATAATATAGTATATAGTATGTAAAATGTCCTTGGAGGTAAATAGCATTGACTAGATTGGTAACAGAAGTTGGCAGGTATAAAAATTAACGTGAATTTCGTTGAAGACTTTTATTAAAGTTTTTAATACTTACAGCTCTGCAAAGCGAGGGTCCTTCAAATTAGCTGCAAAGGAAATACTAGTTGCTATTACACCACGAACTTGGACGCTTGGGTCATCATTAGTCATATGTGCCATAATTTGCATCATCTCTGAAGTGGGGAAAGCTAAGAAGATATTCAGAGCTGCTGCGACCCTAACTTCGTATGGTTCAACGGTGTTCCTCAAGATGCTGAAGAGTGCGGCGCGAACAACTTTGTCCTTCTTGTTGGCCAAAGTTTTTAGACTAATTACCATTTGTGTTCGAAGATACTTTGTAACAGTGACTTGGCCTTCAAAGTAGGGAGCAAAGACCTTTAAGATATCAGGGTGAGCTAAGTTGCCAAGAGATCTAATGTAAACCTGAGCCTTACTGCTGTCATCGTCTTCAATAGCTTTTTTCAGTTCTGAAGCAAGACGAGGAATAACCTTTTTCATCACAAATTGGTTCTGGTTTCCAGAGCGAATGAATTTAGTAGCGGCCAGTAAAGCAGAACTATTAAGGTACCTTTGTTCCACAACTTCGGGGCTTAAAGCAAGTTCCAAAAATTCATTCATGATTTCCTCGTTCCAGAAACCAAGCCTGCCAGATACAGATGCAATAACTTGAGCAGCTTCTTCACCTTCTATCTTCTTAGTTAAAATCCACGATTTGAGCTCTTTAAAAGCCGCTACAGTACCTGCTTGTGCAACTGCATCCCGATAAATGGTCCACATTTTACTTTTCGGATTAGCGTTTCTAGCGACACTCGCTGTCATCTGAGATAATTGCTCGGAATTCAATAACATAATGAAACGAACCAGGAATTTAAATTTTGACAAAAAGTTATTTGCGGGTAGATCGTTAGAATCCTGCAGCAGAAGAGTAATTTCTTGGAGTACTTTTTGGGCATTCTCAATGTTTTTTGGATCAACTTTAAAATATGCACCTGATCCAGCTAACGGCAAAAGTGATTGAACATTGCGGATGTTTGCAGACTGTGCCCATTCAGTATTCCCAATTACCTCCACAGAAGATAAAACAAGACCAACGTAACTGTAGACTTCAGCTTTTTGTTTCCCAAACAAGAGAGGACTCACGAATACAGTGTCTAACGTTTCTGACTTGTATATCGTTCCCTGTTTACCAGCATGAATTCGTGATTCAGTAGTGTGCTTGATGAACTGTCTTTCATCATCTTCATAAGCGTGTCCAGCTCCCTCTGGGACACCAAAGGCAAAACCAATACGTTTCTTGCAGGAGTTGTAGTTCTTGCTTTTAGTAATCTCGATGGGGTTTTCAGCAAATGATTGCAAGTTACGACGTACTTCCACAGAAATTGGAGAAATGGAATATAAAGTTTCACAATCACCTGTGACATCAGCTTCCGATTTCTTGAAGAGGCCTTGGAAGGTCTTTTTATCGAAGCTGTTGGGGAAATTGTCCACATGTCCAAATGTAGATAGATCGACTTGGAGGGCACTGATCAAACCTTTGAGTATGTTCTCATTGGCCGATGATAGGCTAGAAGGTACTTTCAGAGAAAGCACTCGACCTCCATCAACGAAAATTTCGAAAACCTCGTCGATTTTCGGAACAGATTCGTATTTCAAGTCAGAGGGAACCTCGTTGATATCAAGCACTCCTTGAATCTGGGCGTGTAAGGGGTTTTGTAATTTAGCCAGAAGATGTCCAGGAGCCTGGACGCGGATCACGAACTGAGACTTGAAAGCGTTGCCATTGCTGTTGCTATTGTCGAACTTGGTCCAGGTGTAAGAATTAACATCATAGACGTATTCTTTTCCTACTTGCCAGGGCCATTTTGCATTTTCTGTGAGAGGGTTCGAGGTGACAACGGCTGAAATAGAGCGTACTTTATTAGAAGTTAATGTACCACTTTACAATATTTTTCTACCAGAAGTACTAATTTTTTTGACGAAGTCGCGATTAACATCTACTATTTTGTATACATATAATATTCAGCATAAATGTTTAATCAGTTTTAATATAACAATTCGTTTATCTCGTATTGCACGCGTTTAACAACATAAGTTTTTGTTTTCTCATTCAAGTGATAATTACCAACAGCAACTTAGATAATAACTTGAGTTCAGAACAAAATGTGTCAATTCTGTGTTACTTAGTTACCTTTTTAATTTTTTTTTTGTTTTTGTTTCCTTTTTTTTCTTTTGATTTTTTTCTTTTTTGGTATAATAAATGGTTTTAACATAATATCTATAGTATAAGTGGTTCTCTATTATACCTAGTTATGTTTTCCAATAAAAATAAGGTACACTTTAATATGAAAATGTCTTTAAGCTATGAATACATTCCCGCCATTGTACGTTCTACTGCCTTTGCTTAAAACAGAGATAGAGACGTAACAATATGTGCATGTCAATTTAACCTCTGAGTTATTATTAACCATGAAGATAAGCTGATGATAAAAATATTCAAAACTAGCTTCTGCCAGCGGGTTCGCTCTCGTTTCCGGGGTAAAAAGTAAAAAGTGTGTATTACTCCGGATCATAATTTACCCCTGTTCTGAATTTCATCCCGATCTCTTCAGCCGTTTTGAGTACAGTCCACAGCAGTAGGTTGCAAAGCTAACTAACAGTCGACAAACTTATATTTGCGTTTGGTATAATAACTATGTCTAGGGATTGAGCCGCAAAATTAAGTTTGTTTTTTCGCATACAAATTTTCCGGGGTAAAGTATAATCATACCAAGTTTCATCGAAATCGGACCGGTAGTTTTTGCGAGTTGCGTGTACATACAGACAGACAGATAGACACACATTATTATATGTAGGTATGTATTTATCAAATCATAACTGTGTAAATTGATAGGTTATCGTCTGATACGTACTACAACTTCCAAATATGCAGTTTAAACAGCCAGTGTACCTATGTATATGAAATTACAAAAGGTTTGTTAGGATAGCGTAAATATGCGTTGGACGCCCGTCCACGGACGGCGCTGATCGCTTACCATCAGGTCTACTGGTTTTCCTCCTATTCCATAAACAAAGACAACGAACTAATGAACAAATTCCTACTTTCAGATTTGTGAAAAAAAAATACCAAATATTACTGGAATTTTTTGTCTGTCTATTTGTACTAATCTCTGAAATGGCTGAATCGATTTTGACGTGTTTTATTGGAAGGTAGCTGATGTACGAAGGAGTAACATAGGTTACTTTTATTTTGGAAAATTGGAACAAACAAATATTTATATCCTAAAATTCTTATTCTACGCGGTCGTAGTCGCGGGCAACAGCTAGCAACAGCTAAAATGTTCGTTAAAATATTTTCAAACGTGAAATAATCTTTATTACTAAATAAATAAATACAAACTTAAATACTAAGAAAATAAGTAAACATACAATGACATATTTTTACAAGATAGAAGCAAGTATAAAAAAATACTACTTACCGACGATTGCCGCCAACACTAGAAGTTTCATAGTCCGAGAGTTCCTGTGGTCGTGTTCAGTGTAGCACAGTCGACCACACTTCTGATACACGGGACCTGTGGGCCAGGTTTTATACTGGCAATCGTTCTTCAACACTTAGGTTGAGACCCATAACCTTTCTACCATTTCGATAACTTACAATGGCATCAAATAAGATAAATACCCAAAATACTTGTAATTCAAGTCATTGTTTTGCATTATTAGTCTTTTATTTTTTCAAGTAAGAAAGCTTATGCATAATCACGCCTTTTATCCCCGAAGGGGTAGGCAGAGGTGCGCATTATGATACAGAATACCACTAAGTATACAATGTAATACCCACTTTTCACTATTTATGTTATGAGTCCCATGTAATAGAGACTGCGCCTATTGCCATATGCCGGGCACAATTCCAGACTCCGTGATATTGATATTTTCTTATGGAGATTTTTTTTAAAAACCCAGTAATACTTTGCCCGACCCGGGAATCGAATTCGTAACCCCTTGCCCGGCAGTCAAACTTGCGACTACTCGGCCAACGAAATGAGGTAGTCCAGTTCAAGTAAGAAAGGAAATGTATTATTTTATTTTGGGAGTACAAAATCATCAAATGACTCATCAGGACCTGGCTTAGGTGGGAGGTAGAATCAAACTACCTTTTAATAACTCCTACTCCGTGCCAGGCCCGCAGGAAGAGACTGGTACCCAAGTTTATGATTGGAAAATCTAAGATAGGCCCGCCAGTGAGTTAATGAATCAACTGTCCCCTAGTTTTGTTAAACTTGTTAATAGAAGAATAAACTATTTCTACATTCAGTTTTCTATTATCTCGTTAGAGTAGTGCTTCGATGCCATCTAACTCATAGCGCAGTCGCGTAGAACCTAACGGGTAACCGGGGCTCCGGCTCGACGTGCAGGAGAAGGAACGGGGTGGTTTTTAGTCAGTAAGAGTCTGACACTCCCTCCCGCCTCACCCAGGCGGGAGCAGTCATTCGATGATTTTCCCCTCTTAAAAAAAAAAAACTCATAGCGCAGCTGTCAATAGGAACGAGTTTTGAATTCTGCTAGTCCTTTTTTTATATTAAGGACTAAACGTCTCGTCATCACAGCATTCCTTAATAGTATTTATGAGAAGTAAATTTCCTTCTCTATAAAAAATGTAAATACTACTTTTTACCCAAGGATTTCCCGAAAATCTTACGGGAACGGGAAAAAACGGGATTGCGCATTTTCATTTCACGCAATCCCGGAGTTTCGCGAATAGTTCCCGAAGTTACGAACAGGAGCTAATATAATGTAACACTCATTATTAGGTATGTCTTCTATTGATGGGTATATAATTGGATACAGTAGGTACAAACTCCTAGTAAAAATATTTTAACTTTTCTTTTGTGTATCCTCTATATCTGATTACACAATGATAAAGGTAAGGTATTATAATTATAATATAAAATTGCACAATTTAAGTAAGTTTTGACTTATATTTACACTTTTTTATTTTATTTTCCATCATTTGGTTTATTGTTGTTACCTATATATGTAAATGTAATTTATCTTTTATGAACACCCGAGTATCTCATGTTTAATTATTATTTACCAAGTATGTCTATCGAGTAAAAGTTCTTGATTCCAATTTCTAATAAAATATAGGTAATATACTGTGTTTTTAACTTCCAGCGCTTCCCTGCCTTTTAGCTTATCGCTCAGCGCATCTTAGGGTTTGTTAGCGATAACGCCTCTGCCAATGAGATGAAATTGGCAACCAAGAAATTATTCCTTTCTGTCTTGTAAACAGGGACCTTATACCCAACAAAAATAAAATATTAAAATTTGTAACCACTTGGGCAACTTGGGTAAACGTTATATACATATCTATATACTAGCTTCTGTTCAGGACTTCGTACGCGTTCCCGTTTTCCCGTTCTGAAAAGATTTTCGGTAAATCCTTGAATAAAAAGTATCCTATGTCCTGTTCCTGGTTTTAAACTAGCCAAGTGAAGAAGTGAAGTCGCGGGCAGAACCTAGTCTTTGGTTATAGAAAAAAATAGTTTAAACAAAATCTTTTAATTTTAAACACTGAGTACCTATATCGTTATATCGTTAGGTTATAAATAATCAATTAATAAATACAGTTCAGGATTATTTTCAATACATACAAATACGTACTGAATTTCTAACGACATTTTACTACTATTGGTTTTATGTAGCCAGGACAGTACGTAACATGATGTCAATAACAATATTTTATTAAAATACATGAATAAAATTAAAATTTGTACATGATTATGTACCTATACATAACAGAATTGTGAGTCAGTCATTGTGTAGTATAATCAGTGAATTTGTAACAATTATTGTTTACTAAAAAGAATACCACTCAAAACTTATGTCTATAAACTTTAAAAGATTTCGCTCCTTTAACAGACTCATTCTTGATCTTGCTCCACTCATCATCAGAGCGGAGAATGTTGGTGTACTTAGTGACAGGCTGGTACGCCTTCAGTTTAGCTTTCTTCTTCAGCTCCACGGTGGAAGGATCAATAAACTCTTCCTCCAGGGAGAAAGATGCTCCGTAATAATTAGGAAGGTAGACCACGCCATAAGGAGTGATGTAGTCATCGCTAATTTGAGATGTACTCTGTCCACACAAACCCCAGGTGGAGCTGCGGTGGTCGTCAGTGAAAATAACAAGGCGATGGTTGTCGTACAAGAAACGAACTTGTCCATTGTTTATGCTGAAGAATTCAATGTCCTCAGCAATAGTATAGTATTCTAACAGAGGCGCATTCGTTACATAATTCCAATATGTGGCCACACCGCTGGAACTAAGACGTGTGGCATTTGTTATAACTTCAATCGTTTTCGGCGTGATTTCAATTTCAACGGCTTGGCCGACTGCAGTCCTGAAATTAAGAATGAAAATTAAGCGTTTTAAAATACCAAAAACATAATTATTATACTCATCTACCGATTTATTTATATTTCATTTTAAAGAGATTTGTAGTAGTCCTGCGAAGAGGAGTGTATCGTGAAAAAATATATCATCTAACTAGTTGGCCCAAATTAGGTTTTGCTGCAAATTGAATCTAAACCTTTAGGTAACATATTCAGCTAATTGCAATATTTTGCATGACTCGACTCCACTGGCTACTCACTAATTTCAGATAACATCAAGTTCTTAATCATCATAATCATAATTAAAGTTCATATAACAACGACTTGTCTGTTGTACAAAAACGATACTACTAGAAAATAAGTTACTTACATGTACGAAACATAAACCACTGCCTGATTAGCTCCTTCTCTTCTTATAAGAATTACTATGTCATTGTCAAATTCCCTGGCCTTATCGACCATAACTACGTGCCAAGCATTTGTCACGCTGTATTCATATTCACGTCCGCTAAATGTCTTGATTTTGTTGTCATCCACGGAACAGAAGGCTAAAATATTAAAATATTTCATTAATAAAACTCTGCCTCTTTGGCTGGGTGGTCGCCTGGCAAGGGGTCTCGGGTTCGATACCCGCGTCGTGTAAAGTATACCTGGATTTTTTTTTAAATTCAGTGGTGGGACGGAGTTTGGAATAGCGCCCGGTATTGGGCAACAGGCTCACCCCCTATTACATGGGACTTATAAAATAAATAGTGAAAGGTGGGTGTTACATTGAACAGTGGCAGTAAGTGTCGTAATATTTATCTCTGCCTATCCCTTCGGGGATAAAAAAGGAGGGGTGAATTTATGTTATATTATTTCAATAAAAAAATCTTCTCTTTAAAGAACAATCTACGAAAAATTATTTTTATACTTACGCAAGTGTTGGTAATCAGTAAACCAGTTGCGGGAACGTTCCCAGGCAGATATAGGCGCGTAATTAGCCATGGCGTACTGGTAATACGGCAAAATCTCCACGTTATTCAATTGTACCACTCCATATTTAGTGGCAAATTCATAGTTGACGTAATTGTCGTAGTAGAAAGCTTCAGACACAATTTCCAAAGTATTGTTGTTGATGGCCCTAGACTTATCTACTTGCTCATCCCAACTGTACAAATCTTTTAAATATTCATAAAGCGCGTTCCAGTTGTTCCAATCAGCGGGCAGTGCCTTGTAAGATAATGTTCCTTTGAAATAGTCGGGAGCGTGAGCTTTTATAATCATTTTGTGACAATCCTTCAAGTAGATATTATCTCGCTTAGTTTCTTCCAAGCACAGTTTTCCTAACGGGTCCTTTCGTAATTGTTCAGTGTATTTCTTACTGCGCTCCTCAAATCCTTTGAAGTGAATATTGTCATATTTGCCAAACTTAATGTCAGCTTCGTATTTAACTTTGAATTTATTCTTGAGAGCCTCCTCAAAGTTCAATGGTACTATTTGCGGTTCGATCATCCTGAATACACCATTAATTTGTTCATATACATTTAAAAACCAAGCTGCTTGAACCTTCTTTTCAGCAAAGCTATTAGCAATAGCACTCGTGAATACAAATTCTCGTTTCTTTTTTCCTTCAAACTCGACGCTAATGTCGAGGAATTGTATTTTGGCTGTAGATTCTATGCCTGCAGCAGCTCGCTTAACTATCTCCTCATAACGATCAGGTAATGTGATATTTTCCATAGCCTTTGCTGGTTCCATTTCTTCATTTGTACCTTCCTGACTGTACCGTGAACCTATGAACGATATAAATATATAAATGAGTTTAGGACTATCTATAGTTATTTAGTTGGTGTTTGATAAGTAATTGTTTTTTTGTAAGTAAATAAAGTAACAACTGCTTTAATTATATCTTAATAATTGTTACTTATTGGAACTTTTGTATATAAAAACAAGAGCTTATAAAACAAATAATTAGCTAGTTTCAAAATAGTGCAAATCAATACAACAGTCTAAATAACTTACCATAGAATATGTTGTACGCCACTGCATTGTTTTGCGACTCTTTAGCAAGGTACTTGAAATCAAATGAAGTATACGCGACGTCCTTCTGGTACAGCAAGTTACGTACATTTGTAAGGAAGTCAGCATCAAACAAACTGAGTGGCTTCTTGTAGTCATTAGAATAAGAGAATCCGCTAAATTCAAAGACTGTGCCGGCGAGCTCGCCAAATTTAAATGGAGCAGAAATAACCTTTTCTGGACGCTCGATAAACTTAGTTGATGGGTCTTGTAAGACGGTCACCGGTGAATAAAGTTCGTACCGTGAAATGTAAGGCCATACACTCATATGGGCCAAATTGACATTTTGTTCAGGCATCTCGAATTTCAAGCTGAACTTAGTTTTTCCCAATTGCAAAGCTGCACTCACTTTTAAAGGAATGTAAAATTGGAATTTGTTAATGACACCTGAGCTTACGTATAAGTTACTATAGGCATCGAAGAAACCAACGCTACCATCCATATTTCTTGCATATAATATTTTCAAGTCGAAGTTCAAATTTATGGACAATTCTTTGTCGACGTTGCTTTTCAATTGACTTTGCATCTTCACAACAGTTGGCTCGCTGTAGTCGTAAACAAAAAGCATACCTGAAGCTAGAGGGAAAGTAACAAAGACTTGTTTCTGTCTTAAGAGGTTGGTATAATTAATTTCATTTGGTGGTTTTTCTGCCTCTTTCGCAACGTCCATCAGTAGAGCGTCAAGGTCATCTTGAGTGAACGTTAATAGCGTTTGCTGGTTCCAGTTGTTAAGGAAGAAGGATCCTTCGAGATAACAACGATGCTTTGGCTTAATATTTAGTAAGTCAGCTATCTTTTTACTAGAGAATTTCACGCCTTCATAGTTTTTTTCAGGTAACTTAACGAACATCCCATATAGATAGCTCATCAAGTGCTTCATATCCGAAATAGAGTATGTGAACTGTAATAAGAGAAATCATTTAATAGTGCAATATTAAATTAGTAAATGTTATTATTCACATTCAAAAAAATCTAAGTAAAACATTGCTGAAAAAGACTGCACGTTTGGCGCGGAGTCTGGGTAGCCGGCTGCAGCGCAACGTGAAGCGGGATCGATTCCCGCACCAAGCAACTCTTTGTGTGATCCACAATTTGTTGTTTCGGGTCTGGGTGTCACATGTATGTTTGTAAACGCAACCACAACACAGGAGAAACTCCTAGTGTGGGGCAACGTTTTTTTTTAAACATATACAAACATAAAGGTAGGAAATATTATGTTTACCCATTCTTCTTCGGTCCACCCGGTGCTTCCGAATCTTAGACCTCCCCTTTGGTATACTGGGAGTATGTGATTCTCACTTCCAATAAATGAAAGTTCCCTGAAGTGAGCTGCAACATCGTCACTTGTATATTCGTCCACCAAACTTTCAGTTGAATAGCGGTAGCCAAACTTTTCTTTAGGTACCAAGTACAGAACTGATTTTGCAATCTTAGCGCTGAAAATAAAAACGTTAACGTATTAGTATTCTGTCCTCAAAATTGTAGTTACAAATTGTTCATGAAATGCAGCCATTGTATTCTATTTTGGCCTACGAGGCAGTCCTGCCTCGACTGCCTCGGACTGCCTCGTTGACCGAGTGGTCGCAAGTGTGACTGCCGGGCAAGGATTCGCGGGTTCGATTCCCAGGTGCCAATGTGCACCAATGTGGTGGAATTGTGCCCGGTATATGGTAATAGGCTCACCCCCATAACATGGGACTCATAACAGAAACAGTGAAAAGGGTGTTGTCTAGTGGCATAATTTGCACGTCTGCCTACCCCTTCGGGGATAAAAGGCATGATGTTATGTTATTCTATTTCATTATTAAACAGTACATGATTATGTATATTTCTATCTTTAGAAAACAAATACTTACAGTTTCGCAAAACGTGGATCTTTCAGACCAGCGGCAAAAATAATTCCATTCGACAGTACTGCACGAACCTGTGTGCTTGGGTCTGTGCCTGACATATGCGCCATAATTTGCATCATTTCGTGACTAGGAAAAGCTAGGAAAATATTCAGAGCAGCAGCAACTCTGATTTCGTAAGGCTCAGCAGTGTTCTTTAAAAGACTGAAAAGTACAGCACGCACATACTCATCCTTTGTGTTCGCCAATGATTTAAGGCTGATGACCATTTGGATTCGTAAATATTTTGTGACTGGCACGTGACCATCCAGATAAGGAGCAAAGACTTTTAAAATTTCAGGGTGAGCTAAGTTACCAAGAACTCTTACGTAAACCTGAGCTTTGTTCTTGTCGTCGATTTCGATAGCTTTTTTCAGTTCTTCGGATAGACGTGGAATAACTTTCTCCACCAAGAATGAGTCATCTTCATTCGATGCGATGAACTTTGATACAGCCAAGAGTGCTGTTGTATTAAAGTACTCCTGCTTCTGAACCTCTGGACTCATGGCTAAATCGAAAAATTCGGTCATAACTTTCTTTGTACGGACACGAAGTACACTGGCCACTGAACTTATAACATCTGCGGCCTCATCACCTTCAACCTTTTTAGACTGTATCCAGTTCTTTATTTCTTGAAAAGCTGTATAAGTGCCGGCTTGGACAACAGCGTCACGGTATATTATCCACATGTTATTCTTAACCACGTTTTTCGATGATTTTGCAACTTCAATGCTATTGGTCAGTTGAGCAAGTTGCTCGGGACTCATGAACATAATTAAGCGAATGAGGCTCTTGTATTTCGAAAGGAAATCGGACTTTGGTAAAATATTTGGGTCTTGTAGTAAAGGAGTCATTTCTTGGAGTAATTTCTGTGCATCAGCAACATACTTTTCATTAGCCTTTATTATCGACTTAGGATCATACCTAAAGATTAAAGAGTCAACTGATCGATACTCCTCAGATTTAACCCATTCTTTGGAACTTTCTGGCTGAAGTGATAACAGATAAAAGCTGACGTAACTGTGGACTTGCGCCTTTTGTTTACCAAATAAAAGTGGATTTACTACAGCAGAGTCAAAGGTTTCAGATTTGTAAATCGTGCCATGCTTGCCAACGAGTAAACGTGATTCAGTTGTGTGCTTGATAAACTGTTTTTCTTCGTTTTTATAAGCCAGTCCTTTCCATACGGCACCTTCAGGGACACCAAAATTGAAGTCAACAAACTTTGCACATGACTCGTAATTTTTACTCTTAGTGATTTCTATTGGATCTGCGGCGAAGTCTTGTAATTCGCGATGCCAATCTGCAGAAACTGGCGCTACTGAGTATAAAGTCTCACAATTACCGGTGACGTCACTTTCCATCTTTTTGAATAAACCTTGGAAGCTTTCTTTATCATAACTGTTCGGGAAATCATGAACATGATTGTAGCTTGATAAATCTGCTTGCAAAGCACCAATCAGACCTTTCAACAAATTCTCATTGGGCACAGAGAGTGATTCTGGAAGTTTCAAAGAGACGACACGTCCTCCATCAACGAAAATTTCAAATGGATGATCGAACTTTTCAACAGGATTGTAATCTAATCCAGTTGGCCATTCTTCCTTAGTTACCTGGTCGTGGAATTGTGCAAACATTGGGCTCTCTAGCTTAGCAAGCAAGCGGCCAGGTGACAGTACGCGAACCATAAACAGGGCTTTGAAGGAATTGCCGTAGCTGTCGCTTTGTTCATAATTGGTCCAAGTATAAGCTTCCACATTGTATGAGTATTCTTTGCCTACTTGCCAAGGCCATGTGTTGCTCTCACTGAGCGGACTGCAAGTGACGGCGGCTGCAATAAGATTTTATTATTATATCCTATTTCTTTGGTTTAGTTAGTGGTTGCAGGTATAACTACCGAGAAAATGTATATGAGTAAGTATATATTATTATTAATTCTAGTACTTATTTCAATCACTAATCGAAATAAATATAGTGATCTAAAAACCAAAATAATTTTAAAAGATAAATCGTTAAAATATATAGTTTATAAAAGATAAACATAAAGAATTCATCACAATTGCAAACAATCTAACCATAACCAAATAAAATAGCATGCTGTTTATGTTTTTCCGACTGTACATCACTAACTATAGTGGTACTTTAATAAATATCTAGTGTGAACAAAGGCAGAACAAACAAAGCGATATTTTACGGATAAAGGAGATCGCCCGTAAGAGATATATTTCAACAGGGTTCAAGAATAAGAATTTCATACTGTAAGATGTAAAATGTATAAAATGAAACAGAAATGTAACGTTTATATACCACAATTTTTTTAAACCACCGTTGGCACGGCCCTCCTAATGGTAAGTGGTTACCATGGCCTATGAACGCTTGCAACACTTGGGGCATTTCTTCCATTAAGAAGAATGAATAGAGCTTCATGAAAATGAATGATATACAAACGGCAAAGTTGGCAGTTGACCATCATTAGGCGATATTCGCATGCACTCGGCGCGAGCCACCACAGGAAAAACGCCTCGTGGGCAGCGAGTTTGCCACGGGATTTTCTTTAAAAAGGGTACTACCGTAACTTTGCCGATTGCCAAGACAAACTTCGTGGCCCGGAGGTCAAAGCGCGGGTTCGAAACCTACCAACGGCAAGTACCAATGCGACTTTTTTCGAGTTATGTGTACTTTCTAAAATTATTTAGACACCACTGACAAACGGTGAAGGAAAACATCGTGAGGAAACCAAGACTTATAATTTCTAATTATAAGTTTAAAATCGACAACCCGCATTGAGCAAGCTTGGTGATTAATGCTCAAACCTTTACCGTATGAGAAGAGGTTTTGCTCAGCAGTGGGTATCTACTTATAGGCTGTTTATGTGTGTGTAACTTTGCCGATAGTACAGGATAAAAAGGTTTAAAACTTACCGATAATCGCCGTCAGCACTAACAACTTCATAGTCCCAAGATACTGCAGTGTGTCGTGGTCAGAATGGTCTCGTATCTTACACTTCTGAGCACCGAAACTGCATTACCTAGGTTTTTATACTTGTTTTAATCTGACGCTCGTATGGCGACCTTTAATCCCACATCGGTGATAACTGATAAAATCTGTATTATAGTATATTGTTACTCGTAGGTAGGTACATATATTGTTCTTTCACTTTTTGTCAAATGCAGTAATTTTGGTGTAATAATAACACATAGGTAACATTTTTATTCCCGAAGGGATAGGCAGAGGTGCACACTACGGCACTTAGTGCCACTGTACAATGTAACACCCACTTTTCACTATTTATGTTATGAGACCCATGTAATAGGGGGCGAGCCTATTGGTATATACCGGGCACAATTCCAGACTCCGTGCTGTTACTGAGATATTTGTTACCCTTAAGATAAGGTTACATTTAGTGTAAAAATTAACCGACTTCAAGAAAAATTTCGGTTTTTTCACGTAGCTTATAAAAGAATTATTTAATAACTATCCATCTTTGTTTATATCCTACTACTATTATAAAGGCGAAAGTTTGTAAGTATGGATGTATGGATGTTTGTTACTCTTTCTCGTAAAAACTACTTAATGGATTTGAATGAAACTTTACCACAATATAGCTTATACATCAGAATAACACATAGGCTATAGCTTATACATCAGAATAACACATAGGCTACAATTTTTTGAGGTTTCTAATGTGAGGTCGTAAAAAAACACATTTTTTGCGCTTACATTGCAAACGCTGACTGAATCCTACAAGATAGATCAAAACAATGTACTACAGTATTGTACAACTTAAAAAGGTCTACAAAAAAGTCCGTGATGGTATATGTTTATCTCTTAGGAATAACCCACAATAACCATTTTTTATCCTTTACTTTATACGAGAAAAAAGAGGATGAAAGTTTGTATGAAACTTTGTCAGTTTTTAACTGATCGGGTTGAAATTTGGCATGCAGATAGATGTTATGACGTAAGCATCCGCTGTGAAAGGATTTTGATAATTTCCACCCCCAAGGGGGTAAAATAGGGGATGAAAGTTTGTATGAGACTTTGTCAGTTTTAAACCGATCGGGTTGTAATTTGGCATGCAGATAGATGTTATGACGTAACCATCCGCTGTGATAGGATTTTGATAATTTCCACCCCCAAGGGGGTAAAATAGGGGATGAAAGTTTGTATGAGACTTTGTCAGTTTTAAACCGATCAGGTTGAAATTTATATATAGTGGTAAGCTTGAATTCATTGTTTGTGTAGCAGACTATCGATCACACTTTAAAGACTGTAGTAAGACTAATGATAAATAATGAAGAGAATTTTATACTAACGAGTATTAGAGAGTTGTCAGCAGTAGAGGCGACGCTAGAAGCTAGCGTGGTATGTCGTCGCGTATCTTCGAGTTGTACCCCGAGCCACACACAGCGCAGGCGCGGGCCGGGCCCCGCCCCCGCCCCAGGCCCCGCCCCGCCCAGCTGCATACTGGACACCGTGTACAGTACGTCTGGACAAAGTTAAAGTTGTATATTGTAAGATAGTTGTTTTAAAGTTAGTTATGATTCTTGCACTGTACTTACTTGTTATTGAACCCATAGCACTCATTACACTGGCTTTACGTTATTATAAATTGTAAAAGATTAAATAAATATTGCAAGGAACGGAAGTCTACTCATGACGCAAATCAATATTGTATCTTTAATATGATTAATTGATAAGTTAGTGTTTATCGACAGTTTTTAGTAAATCGGTTCTGAACTAAGACTGTTCTGATTAAGTTGTCGGAAACCCTGTAAGCTTGTAAATTTTATCATCAATGATAACTTAATAATTGATGCAAGGATAGTAAAATGTGGTTCTACTCTTAATTACGTAGAAATATATATAATCTTTATCTATATAAACAAATATAAATGGCAAATTCTGTTGCTAAAGCTAAAAAATTGAGAATAGATACACTAATTCGTCTTCATTTTCCCAAATATTAATTATAGATCATCGAAAAAAGAGCTTACAATAATAAAAAACTATCTAACAACTTGTGTTATACATTTAAGTGTGGGAGAGCCATGCTTCGGCACGAATGGGCCGGCTCGACCGGAGTGATACCACGGCCTCACAGAAAACCGACGTGAAGCAACGCTTGCGTTGTGTTTCGTCGTGTAAGTGAGGTTACCGGAGGCCCAATTACCCTCCCCTTCCCCAATCTCCACATTCCCTGAATCCCCAACGATCCTCAAACTCCTAATCCTCAAAAGGCCGGTAACGCACTTGTAACGCCTCTGGTGTTCCAGGTGTCCATGGGCGACGCCGATTGCTTTACATTAGGTGATCCGTCTGCTCGTTTACCGGCTTATGCCATAAAAAAAAAAATATGCAGTTGGTTGCCCCACTGCAGTAACCATACAATCGAATCGGTTTTAACTAGATAAATAAGATTAGACACTGATATCACACTAATATTATAAATGTTACAGTTTCTTTGTTTGGATGTTTATCCGTCAATCACGCTGAAACTACTGAACGGATTTTGATGAAGTTTGGTATACAGGCAGGGTATGGGCTGACTTAGGTGATAGGATTCTTTTTATCCCGATTAAATGCACTAATGGAATAAAACAGGAATCATATTCCATGTGGACAAAGTCGCGGGCAATAGATAGTTATATCTATACTATTCTATACTAAGATTATATAGCTGAAGAGTTTGTTTTTTTGTTTGTTTGTTTGTTTGTTTGAACGCGCTAATCTCCGAAACTATTGGACCGATTTGAAAAATTATTTCTATTTTGGATAGCCCATTTATCGAGGAAGGCTATAGGCTATAAAATATCACGCTACTATTAATAGGCGCCGAGCAGAGCGAGTGAAACCGCGGGGAAGTAGCTAGCCATATTTATAAAGATCAAGTTCACTTATAACAAACAAATCCACGGCACAAAGTAGTAACAATCTTCTTCAGAATAAATAACAAACTTAATAAAAATACTAATCTATCCGACTTTCAAGTAAAAATATAAACTTAGTGATATGAAGTCTTAAATAACAACAGTGACCAGGCAACAGATAAATACATATTACTCAATAATTTGATAATGAGTAAAGTGCGAAATGTTGTTTAACCTGTTAATCTGTGAATAAATTTGACTGAACGGTTGGCGCGGTGGCTGGGCAACTGGCTGCCGCACAACGTGTCGCGGGTTCGACTCCTGCACGAAACAACTCTTTGTGTGATCCACAAATTGTTGTTTCTGGTCTGGGTGTGATGTGTATATGAAATTGTATGTTTGTAAACGCACCCACGACACAGGAGAAAATCCTAGTGTGGGGCAACGTTTTATAAAAAAAATATACTTAATTCTGCAATTCTTCACTCGCGATTGGCTTAAGTGTTCCAGACCATAATCTGCTCCAAATTTCATCTCGATATCTTCAGCCGTTGACGCGACAGAGTAACACATAAATTCTCACAATTTTTCACATTTATAGGATTAATAGGATATATTTACTTATATAATGGGGAAGACGACTAATTTTTTTTTTAATGTCCGTCTGGTAGATTATTTAAAAACATTAGACACGTATTTTTTATTTTCTTACGGAAACGAATAGTTTCGAAGATATATTGATTTGAAATGTCGCGTGACGTCACTTCTCAGTACATTTTATACTAAGAAATGACGTTTTAGCCCCCACTCCTAAACTTTGATTCGTTTTATCTAAGTATTGTTTTATTATACAACAAAATAAAAAAATACGTGTCTAATATTTTTTTATTACCTAAGTTACGGACTAATTATATTTTTAATTTTCATACCCTGTCATCTTCCCCATTATGTGTACTATACATTTTTTTTAAGGGGGAAAATCATCGAATGACTGCTCCCGCCTGGGTGAAGCGGGAGGGAGTGTCAGACTCTTACTGACTAAAAACCACCCCGTTCCTTCTCCTGCACGTCGAGCCGGAGCCCCGGTAACCCGTTAGGTTCTCCACGACATTCAAGCCTATGCTTTTGTTTAAGCCATACTCTTACATATATGAGAATTATTTCCTTTTTGTCTACAAGTCAATAACTTTGTGATAAAACACGATTTTTGGAATGAGGTGTATTATTTGAGAAGCCATGCTACTAACCTCTCGCTCAACGAAGTATTTATACGTCAGCATTAATATTAAACATAACTGTTTTGACCGTGAAGTGAACCGCACGCACCATAATATGGCAAATAGTGAAAAAGACATAATAGAAAATGGAACGACAAGTTCTAATCAATCTACTGGTTATCAATATCCTAATGATTTCCTACCAGTCCTCAAGATAATAAATTATTGTGTGTTTGCACTGATTCTTATAGTATTCGTCTACGGAGTGACGTCCTGGTGCCTCATCAAGAAGTTCAGACACTTCAGGAACTATGTCATCCTCAGTGCAATAACCGCGAATGTGCTGAGATATACCCTGACAATAATAAGTTACGTATCCGATGACAAAGAAACACATTTACTATTGAAGCTCCTATCGCTGTGCGCATTTTTATATTCGGTTCTAGCATACAATTATTGGTTATTAGTGCTATGTTACATATTCTACTCGGATTTCGTCAAAGTTTTTAATCAAAAAGTCAGTAAGAGGTATTTGAAAAGCAGTTTATTTTCGTGGGGAACGCCTTTGGTTTCGGTTGTGGTGTACTTTTTAACTTTTGTTTTTCACTATGTCGTGAATTCAAGGGACAAAATAACTTATAGGAATTTCATAGTAGCTATGTTGATGATGTTATTGCCATTGGCGATTAATTTAGTAATTTATGTGTTAGTTTTAATGAGTTTATTTCATAACACTAATACGGAAGTGTCTTCAAAACAAAAAAGGCTGCGGTTTTATGTATCTACGTTAATATTTGTATTGAGTAATACTATAATATTGTTTACTGGTTTTCTTCAGTTGTTACAATTAGGGTATGTTGTTTTTGATATTTTGGGAGATAGTGTCGAGTATATAAATATGATTGCTTTGACTTTGTACCTGCCTGTAGTAAAAAGTAATAGA